CTCAGTTCAAAGCGTTACTGTAAAGATAAAAAAAAAACCTGTCCAAGCTGGGTGTGGTGGCTCACGCCTGTAAGCCCAGCACTTTGGGAGGCCAAGGCAGGTGGATCACCGGAGGTCAGGAGTTTGTGATCAGCCTGGCCAACATGGCGAAACCCCGTATCTACTAAAAGTACAAAAATCAGCCAGGTGTGATAGTGGGTGCCTGTAATCCCAGCTACTTGGGAGACTGAGGCAGGAGAATCCCTTGAACTTGGGAGGCGAAGGCTGCAGTGAGCCGAGATCATGCCACTGCAATCCAGCCTGGGTGACAAGAGCAAAACTCTGTCTCAAAAACAAAACAAAAAGACTGTGTCCATGTGTACAAACATAGGGGCTCTTAACATCAGCACATCTGCCAGCAGGCTTTTCCAAGCATTTGCAGTGATTTCTCTCACTGCATCACAAAAACCTGCTGGTTTGCTTTGTCTTTCCAGTACTATTTTCTGACCCCCTAAGTGTCAGTCAAACACAGATTTACACAACTGGGACCTTGAATCATTTCTAACATTTACGTAGGATCCAGCTTGACTCAGAGGAAGCAAGGTTGACAATGCCCTCCCTAAAGGAGAGTGGCAGGAAAGGCCAATCCTGAAGACTAGTATGGCTTCACAGTCAAACTGTTCTATGCTCTTTCCAGATGGTCAACATAAATGAAGATTCTGCCCATTCCAACAACAATGGTTGGGACAGATAATAAAGTGGGGAACTAGGAGAAGACAATGCCAGTTGCAGCATCTCAAAGGAACAGTCACCCCAGGAACAGTTCACATGCCTCCCTGTACCCTTGTTTTCAAGGTACCAGACTCCAGCAGCTTCCTGCTCCTCCCTGCTGTAAACTGTATCTTAACATTCTGACTGGCATTGTTAGAATCAACAACTTGAAGCTAAGCCTGTCTTTATAAGGAGTACATTTCACGTAAAAAACGAGAATTCCGTGCACAGCAGGCAGCAAAAACAGAAAAAGCAGTAAGAGGAGTAAGGAGATCAGTTCTAGATAGCAGCACTGAATGATCAAAGCCAGACTTAAAGCAGTGCATAGGGAGGGAGAAGCGAGGCCATTTGAAAAGGACTAACATAACCTAGTGAGGGATCCAAACTGTCCCATGGTTTCTGGCTATACACTCACACTACAAGGATGCACAGAAGAGCAGGGGGGATGGTGGGATGCTCAATGTGGACAGACTGAGCTTCACATGCCTTTAGGAAATCAAAGACATGTTCACAAATGCATACTGGGAGTCACCAGTGTATCAAGACACATTAACATACAGGGACAGAGAATCAGTCTTTTATGTCCTTTATGACATTATGTAGAACCTGTAGAATCAGTCATTTATGTCATTTGATGCTAGAAATAAATGCTAAAATCCAGTATCAATATCTAACATAAAAAAAAAAAATCTCTATCTTGAGCCAGGCATGGTAGCTCAACAGCAAAGATGGAGTAACACATATAATCATGGATACCTAAAAAGAACTAAAGACATGAATAATAAAAATCATACAAGTGAAAATATAAAACAATTATAACAACAACAAAAACCATAGAAAAAAGAAAATGTAACAATTTGGCTTTTAAATGAACAGTATAAATTTCAATACAGACAATGGTATAACCATTACAATGAAATAAGCAATATTGACATAACCAAATTGGGAGGATGGGAAGAGGGAAGGTAGGATAAAAAAGGAAGTCAACAGATAACAGCTAATGCTTATAAGTCAAGAAATAGTATGAGCATATTATTTGAAAACATGGAAGCAACTCTCAGAAGACACATGCAGCTGCCTACAGGGAGCAGGACGAGGACTGCGGAGGAGCAGAGCATAGCACCACTGTTTTTCATTCTGGGACACTGGGTATACCAAGCTCCTAACCACAGTTCTAAAATTCAGAAAATTACCAAAAATTAAAAAACAACAACAACAACACTCTAGCCTTTCTTTACCTATTTAACACTAAGACGTGAACTCTTTTCGGGCCAAAATCTGACCTGAACTGATAGAAAGCTACTCAAAACTATATTTATGTTCCTTAGTGTCGGGTCCAACTTGCAGACCCCAACCAGAAGCTTTTAGAAAAACCTCCTGGCCTTCCAAGAAAGCTTGCAATTATTCTATTATGTTTATAATTTTTGCCAACCACCTTGATTGATCCTCCAAACTTAGTGTAAATACTACATACACCTCAATGCAGAAATAGTAGCACATTTGAGCAAGGGATCTTACCCCAAGCCTTGATGGGAGTATCTGGTAATTTATAGTATATGTAACCAGGCACCGTGGCTCATGCCTATAATCCCAGCACTTTGGGAGACCAAGGTGGGCGGATCACAAGGTCAGTAGTTCAAGACCAGCCTGACCAATATGGTGAAACTCCGTCTCTACTAAAAATACAAAAATTAGTAGTCCTGTAGTCCCAGTTACTCAGGAGATTAAGGCAGAAGAATCACTGGAACCCATGGGTGGTAGAGGTTGCAGTGAGCCAAGATTGTGCTACTGCACTCCAGCCTGGGCAACAGAGTAAGACTCCATCTCAAAAAGAAAAAAAAATTTATAGTATATATAGCAGATTACTTTCCTAAAATCCTGAGAATTTCTAAATTCCAAAATATTTCTGATCCAAGAGTTTTGAATAAGAGTTTGGGCTTACCATTCATTTTTCAAAATGAAATTTATTACTTTGATTACATGTATTTTGGTACACATATTTTTTTTATTTTTTAGATTTTGAAGATATTTTGAAGAAATCAGTGGAGAGAAAGGATAAAGAGAGCAACAGTATGAGACTCATATGACCTTAAACAGATCAACACCTAATTCCACACACTTTTCAAAAGTGGCATTATTCCCGGATCATTATTCAGATAATGAATAAAGAGGTTCCCTTGTCTCATTAAAAATTTGAAAAAGTGAGAAAATTTCACTTGACTCCTCATTCATATCCTGCTGTTGTCCCACCTATGCTACTCTTCTAGGATAAGGGGTCTATACTCACATTCAACATTTCTTCACTTTCTATACACGTTTCAATCTGGCTTCAGTACAGTAAGGTCAACAGTGCTCTCCATACGAAGCCTAAAAATTGTTTTCCAGCCCTCATGTTATTTGACTTGATACTTTTACTGTCTTCCTAGTCTTAAAATACTCTTTTCTTTGACTTAAATGATGTAACACTGTCCTAGTGTTCCTCCTGCTCCATCTCTATCTCTGCAGATCTATCTCCAATGTTGTATGCTGAGATTCCTCAAAAGTCCATTTAACCCTCTCTGATTCTCAATCTGTGCTTCCTTTTCCTGAGTGATTTAATCCATAACTTTGGGTTGCTTTTTTACTTTAAAAGATGCCATTAATAAAACTGAAGATAAGCTACAGACTAGGAAAAAAACACTTGACAATATATCTGATAAAAGACTTGTATCTAGAATAAAGAAAGAACGCCTACAACTCAGTAAGACAAACAACACGATTTTAAAATAAGCAAAATATATTAACAGACATTTCATCGAAGAAGATATATGAGAGTCAGGCATGGTAGCATGTGCCTGTTGTCCTAGCTATTCGGGAGGCTGAGGCAAGAGGGTCATTTGAGCCCAGGAGTTCAAGGCTACAGTGAGCTATGATTATGACACTATACCCCAGTCTGGACAAGAGTGAGACACTGTCCCTAAAAAAAACAAATAAAATAGGGCCAGGCACGGTGGCTCAAGCCTGTAATCCCAGCACTTTGGGAGGCTGAGGCGGGTGGATCACGAGGTCAAGAGATCGAGACCATCTTGGTCAACATGGAGAAACCCCGTCTCTACTAAAAATACAAAAAATTAGCTGGGCATGGTGGCACGTGCCTGTAATCCCAGCTACTCAGGAGGCTGAGGCAGGAGGCAGAGGTTGTGGTGAGCTGAGATCGCGCCATTGCACTCCAGCCTGGGTAACAAGAGCGAAACTCCATCTAAAAAACAAAACAAAACAAAAACAAATAAAATAATAAAGATATATGAATAGCTAACAAACTTATGAAAAGATGCTGCTAATTAAAACCATCATATATCACTATACCCCACTAGAATGGCTATAATCAAAAAGACAGTCAATACTAATTGTTTGATATAGAAAAATTAGATTTCTGATGTATTGCTGGTGAGAATATAAAGCAGTATAGATACCTGGAAAACAGTCAGGCAGTTTCTTAAAAAGTTAAACTTATCATAAAACCCAGGAATTGCAGTGTTCCTTCAGTCCCCTCAACCTCCCAGCATCTCCCCACCACATATACAGTAATCTCTGCCTGCAATGCTCTTCCTTCCCCTTTTGGTCTAACTAACTCTTCCTCAACCATCTGACCATCCTGACAGAGGATATTCCATATTCATAGGTCTTTATAGGAGCAATGAAGAAACTACTTCATTAACAATTTTCACAGTTAGAATGTTACACTTACTGAGCTCTTTAATTAATGACTTTCTCCCCTCCTCAGCCATAAGCTCCCCAAAGGCAGCATCTCATCTTGCTCCCTTTTGCATCTCTTTTTCTGTGGCCCAATGCCTATCACAAAAGATCTATTCAATAAATGCTGGTTGGATCAATCTCCCTGAGACAGCAGCCAAAAATGTCTGAGAATTTCATTTTTAACTCAAACTTCAAATACCCTAGTGGAGATCTGGAAAGCACTAATAAAACTTCAGTATTTGTCAACCTGGTACAATTCATTGCAAATGGGAAGAAACCACTGACCTTTAAATATCTGCAGCAGACTGACCATATCAAACTTAGCTGAAATTTGTAATGGAATTCAAATATAATGTAATGTAATCTAAGTATCTTTAAGAGTAATTCTAAAAGATGGAAATTATAAGTAGTTAAGAATTACTGATAAAAGCATTTTAAGACACAGGAAAAGTTAAGTGTCTTAAGTTACAGATGAGAAATGTCAACCTTTGAGTCAAAAACCTAATGCTGCTTTCCACCTTGGACCCGACAGAATGGCTCCCACAAAGAAGGGTGGCGAGAAGAAAAACGGCCGTTCTGCCATCAACGACATGGTGACCCGAGAATACACCATCAACATTCACAAGCGCATCCATGGAGTGGGCTTCAAGAAGTGTGCCCCTCAAGCACTCAAAGAGATACGGAAATTTGCTATGAAGGAGACGGGAACTCCAGATGTGCGCATTGATACCAGGCTCAACAAAGCTGTCTGGGCCAAAGGAATAAGGTGCTAAAGTTATCTGTATTAGAAGGAATGCCCCATACCAAATCCGTGTGCGGCTGTCCAAAAAACGTAATGAGGATGAAGATTCACCAAATAAGCTCTGTATTTTGGTTACGTATGTACCTGTTACCACTTTCAAAAATCTACAGACAATGTGGATGAGAACTAATCGCTGATCGTCAAATACCTCAAATAAACTTTAAAAATTGCCTTTAAAAAGAAAACCCTAATGCTGGACAGATAGCAAGTTACGGAAGCTTGCTATCAAACAGTTGAACAATTGCTCAAATATGCTACTGCACTAATATCACTGCAAAGCCTTCTTTCCTTCACTCAGCTAGGGAATAAGGCTGCCCATGCCACACTTGCTGTCTCACTTTCACTTAAGCACTGGTTAGCAAGGCACAAATCTTAAGCTATAAAGATTGCCTTCCTCCTGCCTTTCACTGAAATGAAGGCCAAAATTAAACTTGAAAGCTCTGAGAAATTTCAGGGAAGATGACAGAGAAACACTATAAGGTCTCCATATGTCACCCACTAAATAAAAAGTCTGATGCAAAGTTTTGTTATTTGGGCTTGGCCTGTTAAGGGTGCCCTATCTCACCATTCCTATTCAACACAGTACTAGAAGTTCTAGCCAGAGCAATCAGGCAAGAAAAAGAAATAAAGGGTATTCAATTAGGAAAGGAGGAAGTCAAATTGTCTCTATTTGCAGACGACATGATTGTATATTTAGAAGACTCCATCGTCTTAGCCCAAAATCTCCTTAAGATGATAAGCAACTTCAGCAAAGTCTCAGGATACAAAATCAATGTGCAAAAATCACAGGCATTCCTATATACTAATAAACAGACAGAGAGCCAAATCATGAGCAAACTCCCATTCACAATTACCACAAAGAGAACAAAATACCTAAGAATATAACTAACAAAGGATGTGAAGGACCTCTTCAAGGAGAACTATAAACCACTGCCCAAGGAAATATGAGAGGACAAAAACAGATGGAAAAACATTCCATGCTCATGGTTAGCAAGACTCAATATCATGAAAATGGCCATACTGCCCAAAATAATTTATAGATCCAATGCTATCCCCATCAAATTATCATTGACCTTCTTCACAGAACTGGAAAAAAACACCTTAAACTTCATATGGAACCACAAGAGAGCCCACATAGCCAAGTCAATCCTAAGCAAAAAGAACAAAGCTGGAGGCACCAGCCTACCTGACTTCAAACTGTATTACAAGGCTACAGTAATCAAAACAGCATGGTACTGATACCAAAACAGAAATGTAGACTAACAGAACAGAACAGAGGCCTCAGAAGTAACACCACACACCTACAACCATCTGATCTTTGACAAACCTGACAAAAGCAATGGGGAAAGGATTCCCTGTTTAATAAATGGTGTTGGAAAAACTGGCTAGCCATGTACTGGAAGCTGAAACTGGACCCCTTTCTTATACTAAAATTAACTCCAGATGGATTAAAGATTTAAACATAAGAACTAACACCATAAAAACCCTAGAAGAAAACCCAGGCAAAACCATTCAGGACATAGTCATAGGCAAGAACTTCATGGCTAAAACACCAAAAGCAATGACAACAAAAGCCAAAATAGACAAATGGAATCTAATTAAACTTAAGAGCTTCTGCATGGCAAAAGAAACAATCATTAGAGTGAACTGGCAACCAACACAATGGGAAAAATTTTTTGCAAGCTACCCATCTGACAAAGGGCTAATATCCAGAATCCACAAAGAACTAAAGCAGATTTACAAGAAAAAAACAAACAACCCCATCAAAAAATGGGCAAAGGATATGAACAGACACTTCAAAAAAAGACATTTATGTGGCCAACAAACATATGAAAAAATGCTCATCAACACTGGTCATTAGAGAAATAGAAATAAAACCACACTGAGATACCATCTCATGCCAGTTAGAAAGATGATCATCAAAAAATCTGCAGACAATAGATGCTGGAGAGGATGTAGAGATATAGGAATGCTTTTACACTGTTGGTGGGAGTGTAAATTAGTTCAACCATTGTGGAAGATAGTATGGTGATTCCTCAAAGATCTAGAAATAAAAATACAATTTGACCCAGCAATCCCTTTACTGGGTATATACACAAAGGATTATAAATCGTTCTATTATAAAGACACAAGCACACATATGTTCACTGTGGCCTTGTTTACAATGGCAAAGACCTAGCACCAACACAAATGTCCATCAGTGATAACACTGGATGAAGAACCACTGTCAATATCAGGCAGATCAACCAGACAGAAAATTAACAAGCATATCCAGGACTTGAACTGAGACCTGGAACAAGCAAACCTGATAGACATTTACATCACTATCTACCCCAAATCCACAGAATATACATTCTTCTCAGCACCACATGACAGCTACTCTAAAACTGACACTCCTCAGCAAATGCAAAAAAACGGAAATGATAACAAACAGTCTCTCAGATCACAGTGCAATCAAGTTAGAACTCAGAATTCAGAATCTAAGTCAGAACCTCACAGCTTCATCGAAACTGAAAACCTGGCTATTGAATGTTGACTGGATAAACAATGAAATGAAGGCAGAAATAGAGAAGTTCTTTGAAACCGACGAGAATGAAGACACAACATACCATAATCTCTGAGACACATTTAAAGCAGTCTCTAGAGGAAAATATATAGTATTAAGTGCCCACATGAGAAGAGTGGAGAGATCCAAAATTGACACCCTATCGTCAAAATTGAAAGAGCTAGAGGAGCAAGATCAAAAAAACTCAAAACCTAGTAGAAGACAAGAAATAACTAAGATCAGAGCAGAACTGAAGGAGATAGAGACACAAAAAACCATTAAAAAAATCAATAAATCCAGGAGCTGGTTTTTGAAGAGATCAATAAAATAGACCACTAGCCAGACTGTTAAAAAAGAAAAGAGAGAATGACCAAATCAATGCAATAAAAAACGATACAGGGGAAATCACCACAGATCCCACAGAAATTCAAACCATCATCAGAGAATATTACAAACAACTCTATGCACATAAACTAGTAAACCTGAAAGAAATGAATAAATTCCTGGACACTTGCGTCCTCCCAAGCCTAAACTAGGAAGAAGTAGAAACTATGAATAGACCAATAACAAGATCTGAAGTTGAGGCAGCAATTAAGAGCCTACCACACAAAAAAAGCCCAGGTCCAGATGGGTTCACAGCCGAATTCTACCAGACACACAAAGAGGAGCTGGTACCATTCCTTCTGAAACTATTCCAAATAATCCAAAAAGAGGGAATCCTTCCCAAATCATTTTATGAGACCAACATCATCCTGATACCAAAACCTGGCAGAGACTCAGCAAGAAAAGAAAACTTCAGGCCAATATTCATGATGAACATACATGCAAAAATCTTCAATAAAATACTGGCAAGCCGATTGCAACAGCACATCAAAAAGCTTATCCACCACGATCAAGTAGGATTCATCCCAGAGATGCAAGGCTGGTTCAACATACGCAAGTCTATAAATGTAATTCACCACATAAACAGAACCAAAAACAAAAACCACATGATTATCTCAATTGATACAGTTAGAAGGCCTTTGACAAAATTCAACAGCCTTTTATGCTAAAAACCCTCAATAAACTCAGTATTGACAGAATGTATCTCAAAATAATAAAAGCTATTTATGACAAACCAACAGTCAATATCATACTGAATGGGCAAAAACTGGAAGCATTCACTTTGAAATCTGGCACTAGACAAGGATGCCCTCTCTCACCACTCCTATTCAATATAGTACTGGAAGTTCTAGCCAGAGCAATCTGGCAAGAAAAAGAAATAAAGGGTATTCAAATAGGAAAGAAGGAAGCCAAACTGTCTCTATTTGCAGACGACATGATAATGTATCTAGAAGACCCCATCATCTCAGCCCCAAATATCCTGAAACTCATAAGCAACTTCAGCAAAGTCTCAGGATATAAAATCAATGTGTAAAAATCACAAGCATTCCTGTTATTCCACCAATAACAGACTTAAAGAAAGCCAAATCAAGAACGAACTGCCATTCACAATTGCTACAGAGAATAAAATACCTAGGAATACAACTTACAAGGAACGTAAGGGACCTCTTCAAGGAAAACTACAAACCACTGCTCAATGAAATAAGAGAGGACACAAACAGATGGAGAAACATTCCATGTTCATGGTTAGAAAGAATCGATATCATGAAAACGGCCATACTGCCCAAAGTAATTTACAGATTCAACGCTATCCCCATCAAGCTACCAATGACCTTCTTCACAGAATTGGAAAAAAACACCTTAAACTTCATATGACACCAAAAGAGAGCCCGCATTGCCAAGTCAATTCTGAGTAAAAAGAACACAGCAGTAGGCATCACACTACCAGACTTCAAACTATACTACAAGGCTACAGTAAGCAAAACAGCATGGTACTGGTACCAAAACAGAGATATAGACCAATGGAACAGAACAGAGGCATCGGAGGCAACACAACATATCTACAACCATACAATCTTTGATAAACCTGACAAAAACAAGCAATGGGGAAAGGATTCCCTATTTAATAAATGGTGTTGGGAAAACTGGCTAGCCATGTGCAGAAAGCAGAAACTGGACCCCTTCCTGACACCTTACACTAAAATTAACTCCAGATGGATTAAAGACTTAAACATAAGACCTGGCACCATAAAAAACCTAGAAGAAAATCTAGGCAAAACCATTCAGGGACATAGGAGTAGGCAAGGACTTCATGACCAAAACACCAAAAGCCAAAATAGACAAATGGGACCTAATCCAACTCCACAGCTTCTGCACAGCAAAAGAAACAGTCACTAGAGTGAATCGGCAACCAACAGAATGGGAAAAAATCTTTGCAGTGTACCCATCTGACAAAGGGCTGATATCCAGAATTTACAAAGAACTCAAACAGATTTACAGGAAAAAAACAAACAAGCCCATTCAAAAGTGGGCAAAGGATATGAACAGACACTTTACAAAAGAAGACATACATGAGGCCAACAAACATGAAAAAATGCTCATCGTCACTGGTCATTAGAGAAATGCAAATCAAAACTACATTGAGATACAATCTCACGCCAGTTAGAATGGTGAGCATTA